AAAGGTTTTAAAGGGTTCATAGAGTTCAGTCAACAGCCTTGCCCTCACGATCAAGTGCTTCCTCCACACAGGTTGGTAGCGTCCTCAATTTCTCAGCAGCTGAGATTGGGACTCTTGACGGGATAAAAAAACAACAGTAGATGATGCCATATACAGACATAATCTGTAGCTTTTATCTTGAAAATTATATATGTTTTAGTGGCCATGTCCTGACCTAAATATCATCCAAAACCTTTGGATTCAGGACATTCACATTTCACAACACCATTTGAATAATTCACTAAGAGACTAAATGATTTGCAGCAATAAAATCAGATTTTGCCATTTGAATGCCAATGTGGAGTCACATGATGTGGTTTGTTGGTTTAGTTCAGACGCCTACTGCAGTGATGTGTGCGCACATTGTTTATTAGTATATCTAAACTAACTCAATGGGTGTTCTCTTATCTCTTATCAAGTTACTTTTGCATTTTTCTATTTCAGAAATGTTGAGTATGATGTATATCCAAATATTGGAATTGGATTTCGTCTTTGGAATTTAGACAAACAGGTAAGACCTTTGAAAGAGGGTGGTGATTTCCTATTCCCATACAAAATGTGATGTGAACATAAATATAATTGCAAACATTTTTTGTCTTTGAACAAATTCACCTTCACAAGCACTCGCTCTATACTACATCCATCTATTGTAGTTCAGGTCACACAACATGAGTGTTTAAGGAGAAATCAAAATATAATCACTTGATTTGAATGCAGGGACATGGTGAACACACATAAAAGATCTGAGAAAAAACCCTCTTAAAAATACTATACACAACTACTCACTTTAAATGCACACTTTAAGTCCATGAGGACCCAGCTACTCTAAGAATAGCTTCTTTTGAGCAATCAGAGCCTTACAGTTCAGACCGGGTTGCTTGTGCTATTTTGTGTCTTTAAAAAAGAGTAAATGATAGTTTAGTTTTCAAAGCGATAGTTCACATAAATTTGAACGTTCCATCAATATTTATTCACCCTCATGTTGCTTTAAAATCCATATGCTGTTTTTTTTTTTTCAAAGAACACAAAAAGTGATTTTTTAAGAAATTGTATAGCTTGTTTCCATGCAATGATAGATAGATAACAAAAAATACTTTTGTTACTTGAAATGGAGCTTAAAAAAAAATTTAGATGAAAACAATAGAAGTGGTGCCTTGCCAACCAACTGAAATAAAATATTTTTATTATAAATATTTATCATAAATTTCAAATATTTTTGGTGAAGTGCTAAAATGACTAAAACTAAACTAAAACAACATAACATAATTACTCAAATTAAAATAAAAAATTAAAATATAAAAATATTTTTTTATATACTAATAAATACAGAGCCCCTAAGGGACCTTTGCAAAAAATAAAAAAAGAATATTGTGTGCGATAGAATTAAATTCTCTAAAATGCACAGGAAAACTATGGATTCACATAAGTTGTTTGTATGTTTAAATATTTCCATAAATATCAAATATATTCATAAGATGATTAATATCCCTGTTAAACCAATTCCTTAAAAATAAGGATTTATTGGTCGCGTTGTAACCAGATTTTTTAATCTAGAGGAGAAGTTTAAACTTTGACATCCATAATCTTGTTTTCCTCATCGGAAATTGTAATGCATGCGCACAAGATACGTTTTACGTGAGAAATGAGATACGTTTCGCATTCTTTATTATTATTTCTTTTTTGCAAAGGTCCCTTTAGGGGCTCTGTAATACAATACTATTATAGTATATAATAATACAAAATAAAACTGGAAAGTTGACACTTCATAAAATGCCAAATATGTCTTTCCAATTAATTTGTCTAAAGTGCATTTAAATGTGCCTGTGAAAATCATTTCAGAATTGGTGTGGAGATTTTCAATGAATACGAACGAACATACGTTTTGGTCTTGGACACACAAACCTCGCTGATGGCTTCAGGATATACTTGGAATATTTTGTTATTTATATATGTTAGCAGCATGACTTTGGAACGACATGTGGGTGATTAAATAAAGACAGAATGTTCAATTTAGGAGGTTTGTCCTTTCAAGGTATAAACTCATCTGTGAGTGTGTTTTATTCAGACTAGGCTGCGTGTCCCGCTGGAGTACCTGCGCTGGCTCAGCAGGTGGCGTGGTGGTGGAGGGGTCGGGGGGCAAAACTGATGCGGGTGATGATAAGGAGGCGGCGGGGGTGGGAGGGGCGGCTGCTGCTTGCCCCCTCCGTGACCTGGTGGGCGTGGACACAGCCGATTGGATGAGGCGGTGGGCGGGGTTGTGGCTGAGGAACGCCTCCACGTGGCCACGCCCGGCGGCATCCATGACGATCACCTTGACGATCTGCTGGCACTGGATCAGGGTGTCTGGGGAGATGGTGAGGGTGGAGCCAGGGGCGGGGCTAGGCAGGACGGCCAGGTGTTGCTGAGCGCTGGGTGGGGCCAGAGGAGAGCTGAGTTGGTATGTTTGGAGCCTGTTGTGAATTGACACCTAGTTTAGAAACAGCCAGAAGCAGGAAGCGTTATCAGCCTGGCCTGCTGCACTCTCACGGCCCTCTGGTGCGGATCACACGACGAGGCCATGCCACAGAGCATGCAGGCGGCAGAACGTGACACAACTACGTACATGCAGCGCAGTCGAAGTGGGTGAAAGCAGGGTGACGGGATTTGGATAATTAACTGCTATCTTATGCATTTCCTTTTATTACTGCGCTGCTAATCAGACTGTTATATTTTTATCCATCTGTAAGAAGCATTAAAGTGCCCCTGGAGTGCCTAGACGCTTGACAGCGAGGGTCTTTATTGCATGCTGGATAATTTGCACCTTGTTTTGACAGACCTTGAGTGCGTGTGTGTATGTGAAAGCAAACTCATGTAGCCTGTCGGTCCACACTAAACACTGCTTATTCCTTTTCGTTTTTAAAGGGTTAGTTCACCCAAAAATGAAAATTAAGTCATTAATTACTCACCCCCATGCTGTACCAACCCCGTAAGACCTTCGTTCGTCTTCGGAACACAAATGAAGATATTTTTGATTAAATTTGAGAGCTGTATAACTACCTACACATAGACTCCTAAGGGACTGGCTCTTGACGGCCCAGAAAGTCAATGAAGAAAATGTTTAAATATCCAAGTGACTACCGTGGCTCAACTATATGTTTATCAAGCAACGAGAATACTTTTTGTGCGAAAAAACAAACAAAAATAACGAGTTTATTCGACTATTCCTTTTTTCCTTGTAGGCCAGAAACGAGACTTCCTTAGATTTCCACGACGCATGCGCGAGAATTGCGATCTCCTTACACTACTTCAGTTCAGTTCAGTCTCCGCATGCACGTTATTTGTGTTCCGAAGACGAACGAAGGTCTTACGGGGTTGGTACAGCATGGGGGTGAGTAATTAATGACTTAATTTTCATTTTTGGGTGAACTAACCCTTTAATGAAGTATTTGAATGTGTCCCAGTGCGAGAGCTCCAGTTTAGGCTGTGGGCCTATCATACACCCGGCGCAATGCCAGATGCGACGTAAGTGTTTTTTGCTAGTTTCAGCCCGATGCAGTTATCGTTTTCACATTCTGCGCATCGTTGTTTAAATGTCAAATGCACCCACTTGTGTGCCCGTTGGCATGCTGGTATGAAACGAGGTGTGTTCAGGCGCATTGTTGGCATGTTGCTATTTTGAGGCAACTGAAATAAACTGGGCCACAATGAACCGCCCACCATTGACCAACAAAAACCTGGTCTAAAGTCAAGGCGCAGTATTGTTTTTTTTTTTTTGTTATTTAAAGTACGCATTAGTAATATACGTCTATAGGCGGGATGTGAATCCACCATGGCGCAAACGCAACTGGCTTTAAAGGGAACGGGATATTACACTCTAAAAAAACACCCATTACTCATTAAGAGAATAGAGACAACTCTTTTAGGCCCTGTCCACACTACTGCGTTTTCGTTTAAAAACGGAGAATTAAAACGAATACGATCTCCGTCCACACCAGCGTTTTATCTGTGTATTAGAAATGATCTCCGTCCACATTAAAACGACGCGGATCACGTGACCATTCACCAACACTGGGCATGCGCGTGACGGTGTAAACGGTGGCTGACGAATCAGGGAAGGATACGTCATGACTGATGACACCCAATCACAGAGCCGAGCGTGAGCCTCTGCGTCATCGTTTCCAAACTCCTCCGTTTTGTTCCGTCTTCACTAAAACGCCCTCCGGAGATTCAAAACGCAAAACGGAGCTGCAGCGTTTCTAAACTTCTCCGTTTTAGGTCTTCTTCGTTTTTTTCCGTTTTAGTCTGGACAGAAGGTGCAAACGTAGCAAAAGGTCTCCGTTTTTAAACGAAAACGCAGTTGTGTGGACAGGGTCTTAGGCCCCGTCCAGAGATTCAAGCCCTCCGGAGATTCAAAACGCAGCTGCAGCGTTTCTAAACTTCTCCGTTTTAGGTCTTCGTTTTTTCCCGTTTTAGTGTGGACGGGAGGTGCAAACGTAGCAAAAGGTCTCCGTTTTTAAACGAAAACGCAGTAGTGTGGACGGGGCTTAGACCGATGACCATTTTCCCCATCGTTAAACTAGCAAAAGTGCACTTGTGCCGTGTGCTTTAGATTGTGCGCTTAGATTGTTAAAATAGGGCCCTGTATGTGTATGAATGCGCTTGTCAGTGCGTCTTATTTAAATAAACTATCGACATCATTTCCACTTATGGACTGGCATAAAGCCTTTTAAGTTGAAAGAATTTCACCCCACAACAGCAGCTGAAGTGAGAAGCCATAGATTAGAGATCACGACGAGGGGCAGAGGGTGGTGTTTTCTGTTATTGCTCTGCACGAGTGGTGTGTGATTGCAGTGAAGACACCGAGGGCAGGCGTCTCCATTCTGACAGGGACAGAGTGAGCTTAGGGGTCAAAGGGCAGGGAGTGGGGCCAGTGGGGAGGTTATCTCTGATTCTGCAAGGAGATAGTGATGTTAACTACAATACATGCTGTCACCACCTAAAAAAGTTTGGAAACACCCTAGGTTTAAAAATGGGACAATATCAGCATATAAATCCTCAACATTTTTGGTGTAAATGCATTGGCATATTATGCAATTGAAGACAATAAGAATACTTTTCTTCTTGATTGCACATCTTTTTAGCTTCACTGATTGATTGACAGAGCAACAGATCAATCAGAACTCAGTTTGAAGATGCTTTATAAACAGGATTTTTCCATGCTTTGAATTCATGGATTTTTTTTAAAATACATTTCCGTAGACATATATTTATATATTTCCATAGTCCCTTGCAACTGAATCATTGCAAAGTCATCACAAAAAATAATACAGTTTTATGCTGATATTATCAAAAGCCCACTTTGCCTAGGGGTCCAAAATTTTGGAGGACACTATAAATACATGCACACAGAATCGGAACATAATTTGCACTGCGCTCACACCACGATATACTGATACAAACCTCTACTGTGTTGCTTCCTGTTTTCTCATAAAAATCATCCCCTGCAAGCCATACAAATACACAAGACATGAAAAATAGTCTTATTTGTGTGTGTTTAAGTGTGTAAGTGTGTGTGTGTGTGTGTACCTGAAGCAGAACTAGATCCAGCGTGGATGTCTAGTTGTGTGCCGTTCTTGTTAGTTTGATTTCTCACAACCTGTTGTCTTTCTAGTTCCCCTGAGAAGCACATGCATAATTCACTTTAATGTTGGCCACCACAACCATAGCATTCAAACCACAGAGGAATGTAGAGAATTCATTTTTATTCAAGCTAGCCCCTTTAGATAATGATAATGAAGTAAAATTATTTTATTATTTATAGTGTTAATAAACAACACTGTGCATAGCCCACACACACAGCCTATACCCAATAATGTACTATAAATAGTGATGCTATTCTAAAGTGTATTAACCGGAAAAAGCACAAAACAGTCTTGTCAAAACTCTTAAAGGTCCCGTATTATGCCCCTTTTCACAAGATGTAAAATAAGTCTCTGATGTCCCGGAATGTGTATGTGAAGTTTCAGCTCAAAATACCCAACAGATCATATTTTACAGCATGTTTAAATTGGGGCTCAGAAAAACGCGCTGTTTTAGTGTGTGCCCTTTAAATGCAAATGAGCTGCTGCTGCCGGCACAGGGGGCGGAGCTTCATGAGCTCGCTCAGTCTCTCAGGACAATTTCATCTCACGGAATGATGATAATATCAGAAACTCTCAGTAACAGTGTTCATTTCGCGTTGGACAATAATGCCTACAGAGTCAGAGTGCTCTATAGAGATGGAACAGGTATAGTTTAGTAGTTTAATTATGGTTATTATAACGTATTTGTCATCTGCTTGTATGTATCCATTATTTATTAATAGCCTACAAGTCTGCTGTTTCGGACCAGGTCCGAATGATGATCAAACATGAGTTTAAAAAGATGAAACGTAAGTTTTACTTCAGAAAATCACCATAAGAGCTGAGTAAACACAGTAAGTTATATTGAGGGAGCATTCCTGTGGGCGGACGTTAGTCAAAAAACTGTTCTACTGACGTCATTAAAGAAGGAAGTAGAGGGATGTAGTCCAAACGGGCCGTTCGATGTAGACTACTTCTGTTAAATAAAATATCTCGCTTGGCATGGACTTTGAGCTTTATAATTTTACAGATATTATTTATACTCTAACAACAACATTACACACTAACTAAAGTTTGAAATATGGGATCACGAAGAACGGGACCTTTAATAATAAAGATTCTTTTTTGACATTGATGGTTTCCGTGAAGAACCTTTACCATTCATAGAACCTTTCCATTGCCCAGCGTTCTTTGTAGTGGAAAGGTTTCTTTTGATTATTTAAATATTCTTTGCACTAAAAAAAATGGTTGTTTTATGAATCTTTCACTGAAAGATTCTTTGGGGAACCCAAAATGGTTTGCTTGCATTGCTGCAAAATCTTTTGAACTCCTTATTTTTAAGAGTGAATAGACCAAAAATTTTCTGAAGCAAATGTGAGTGATGTTTGCCTGTAAAAACTCACCACTAAGATTGTTAAACATGTTGCTATGTGATTGCTAGGTGGTTTATTACTGTTCCTGGAACAGTTTTTTTAAATGTAGAATTGAATTGAGCAAAATGAGCGGTAACAAAACTCACACTCAATCCGAATTTGTTCCATCTCTGCCACCTCTGCGATGCTCTCTCTCAGGTCCTCTACAAACTTGAGCAGCTCCTCTGAGCTCTGAGAACAGAAACTCACCACCTGCTTCTTCTCCGACGAGAACGGAGACAATATCGTGATTCCATGAGGGTAATCTGTGATGGAGAAAACACACTGTGTATCACACATCTGATACTCCAAGTATTGAGGAAGCTCCTGCTTTGAGGATTTGTGAATTTTCCTGATTTTATCATTAAAAAAAAAAAAATTATCCATCTGAATTAGGTTACAAATTAACAAAATGGTACTTAAAAACAATTGGTCATTCTTCAGAAGCAACTGAGTTATATAAAAAATGATATAAAGGGTTATTTATTTATTGTAATATTTTTCAATATTTAGACATTTTAGAACTTTTTTTACATACAAATACTGTACTGTAGTACTTTCATGGTCAATTAACGGTAACATACTTTTTACTGTATTTATAAATATTACAGTAAAATACTTATACAAATATTTATGTAGTAAAATATTAACATAAACAACATTTAACTGTTTTGTGTGTGCTTGTGTTCTTACACTCATTCTCAAACAGATGGAATTGCATTCCCAGTAAACCCATGGCCTTGCAGAACGTGTATGTTGCGGCACTCTTCTTCTTAGGGCATAGTTTTAGGATCTAACATTATAAAAAAAGATTTAGTGTATTTTCAGTTGTTTGTTTGTACATGTGAGAATATGCTTTAATCTGTGTGTCTCTCACCACTATCAGGTCATTGAAGAGGAACACCTCTCTCTGATGTGAAGCCTGTTTCTGCGGTTTATTTACATCGGTGACCTCATAGAGTCGACTGCAGCACACCAGCCTACGGTGAGGAACTGACAGTATCTGAGGGAGAAAGAGAGAGATCAAATATGGGTACAGCTTCCGTCAGCACAGGAAATGAAAAGAGGGATTTCTGTTGCTGCATGGGCTGATGAAAGAAATTATATTTCATATGGAGGCACAGTGTTTTGCTGCGCTGTCATGTGGAATCTAAAATTACAGCGCCAAACTAATGAGCAGTTTCAGTCTCAAGTTTCCTTTTTTATACCTGTTTTTAGAAACTGATTCACTCACCTGTTAGCATACAGAAGTGGAAAAATAATGACTAGAAGCTGTAATGTGAATTAACTGGCTGATGCTTTGGGCAAATTTTTATTTTTACTTTATCATATATCATATATGATCAAATTTAAGTTTCAGAATTGTATATGAAACCCATGTTGTTCACCTTCCCTATTTTTCAGCAAGTTCTTATGCAGAAACAGGTTCATTTGCAATAAGAAAAAAATATTAACCTTTTCCATTAATAGCACAAAACATACAAAGCGACCAGTGTAGTTTGATTACACAACAAAAATTTTTATTGAATAAAAAACATTCAAGACAACCAGTGTAATTCCGCTTAACAAACAAATGTTTTTTATAAGCCGTTTCTTTTCAGTGAATTAAAAAACACACAGTATAGCACAACCAGCATAGTCTGAATCCTGAATAAATGACTCGTATGAGCTTTTTTTAGTGAATCAAACGCATACATCACATATGAACAGATATATTTAAAAAATATATAAAATATTTTCCTCCATTTTTTTTAATGGTTTTATCAAACTTGTGTATATATAATAGGGCTGTCACACAATTAATCGCGATTAATCACATCCAAAATAAAAGTTTGTGTTTACTACATAATATATGTGGGTGCACTGTGCATAATTATATATATATATATAAATACACACGCATGTATATTTAAGAAAAAAATATTATTTATATATAAATATAAATTATATATAAATCTAAATGCAGTATATACATAAAAATATTTCTTAAATATATACAAGCATGTGTGTGTATTTATATATATGCAAAATAATTATACACAGTGCACCCACATATATTATGTAAACACAAACTTTTATTTTGGATGCGATTAATTGCGATTAATCGCTTGACAGCCCTAATATATAAATAATATATAGCTGCGCTAGATGAGTGATAGTAATGGCAATGGCAATGTTTTGCTCAGCAAGACCCACAGTAAAGTTGAGGAGACAGTTTGGTCAGCTATCTCACTGTCTCTAATCACCTTTTCAAATCTGGTACACACCGAACCAAAAGGTGATGCACTTTTCACTTTTACATGACCTTTTTGATTAATTGGTAGAGAACTGACTCACCGTCTTCATTCCAAGAATACTTTGCTCCACCCTGGTAACGTAGGTCACATGATCCTCATTAGAGCGCAGCTCCCTTTGCTGAATCCGCTCGTAAATCCCGGCTAGCATCTCCCGTGGAATGTCTGCCCCATCGTCCACTCCTGAAGTGGAATTTATTTATTTATTTATTCTTTTTTTTTTTTTTTCATTATAATACAAAAGTAAAAAATATAGTTTAAAGGGATAGTTCACCCAAAAATGCCAATTTTTACATCATTTACTCACCCTCAATTTGTTCCAAACCTGTATGGGTTTTTTCTTCTGATCAAAACTAAAGAAGATATTTTGAAGAATGTTGGTAGCCAAACAGTTGATTAAAAATACTATGACTACCATCAACTGTCTGGTTACAAACATATATATAATATCTTCCTTTGTGTTCAACCGAAGAAAGAAACTCGTACAGGTTTGGAACAACATGAGGGCGAGTAAATGATGACAGACTTTTCATTTTTGGGTGAACTCCATTTAAGGCAGGAAAAACTCTATAGCCTGTGTAATAGGAATAAATCTTTTGTTAAAGATCACCGCATTTAGAAAAGCAGAAGTGTCACATGTACTTTTAAGTGACTTATTGCTGTTTAAATTGATGATTTATTTGGCTCTGTGGTAAAGTCCTATTAGAAAGTGGAGCTTGACTAATAACAAGCTGATTTTGTTCCAGTCCCCATGTTTTTACATTCAATTTAAAGAAGAGCTCTCTTATACTGTATGAGTTTGCAGGAAGTAGGCAACAGATCAAAAATTATTTGATTAGAGACCAGGAATCTGTCCAAGACACAAACACACACACACAGACTGTCTACACTCCAAGGAGATAATCAAAGTGACTCTTTTGATATGAAAAGAAAAATGCTAATTTAAACAGAGATTGAAAGCTGATTAAAATCGGCAAGATTTAAAATCAAATATTTAATCTCTGACCTCAAAACACCAACAAGCTCTGGTTTTAATTAACCTTCAAATGGTCTTCGTTTCCTGTTTACACTTCTGGGCTTCAGGGTCTATACAACCCCAACAATTGATTGAGTAATTGTACAAAAAATATACATTTTTAATCATACAAATAATATTTCATTTTTTTGTTTACTTCTCATCTATTCATTAATGCTGTGTTTTTGGAGATATAAAGTACTTAATCCATATACCACACAATTCCTCAAATACACCATTAGCTTGCATATGAAATATTATTTTTTATGATACATTGCATTTATGCTCTAGTACTAGGCCTTCATTTCTGTGTAAAAATGTTCATATTTATGCCAGATTTTTTTTTTTTTTTTTTTTTGGACACAAAATATAATTCTTTTTTTTTTCACATTTCCCATTCATTTCAATGTGGGGTCATATTGACCCCGAAGACCAGAAGTGTAAACATTTTTTACATACCTTCAGAACAACCAAATAAGGCCAGTTTGTGTGTGTGTGTGTATAGATAGATAATGTATGAAAAGTCACAAAATCTTATTCCACTGAGATGAACCTTTTTTTTTTTTATAAAGTAAAATTCGATTGGGGTCATATAGACCCGATTGAGGGCTACCAAAGCGCACATAAACACACCTCGTAGGTTGCGTATGAAGTCTTCCAGCAGCATCTTGCGCTCTGGTTTTATGTTGGGACTGTACATGTCTGTGTTCAGCAGCACGATGGCAAAGGCCAAGATGAAGATTGTGTCGGGATTATGAAACTGTTGCACCACGTCAGGGTTACACATACAATATCTCTGACTGAAAGAAGGAACAACAGATGACAAAGCAAGGCGGATTATAGTAAATGTACCGCACCAAGGAAAAGCTGTGGATAAAATGGCCATAGTTAATCTGAAAAACTGCATGTGTGTTTAGGAAATAACTCTTCAGTGGTGTGTGTGATTCTCACCTGAATGCTTCAATGAGTCTCTCGACTTTTTGAGCTTCTCCTTGCACTCGCACGTGAGCCTGAAACTTCCTCAGAGCTTCATCCAGCTCCAGCATTGAAAAATCCATCTCATCCACCACACAGCTGAGAAAGAGAGAGAGAGAGGCCAAATAAACCTCATAAATGTGCTCTGTTTGAATTAAGAGCCCAATTTATGAAGCTCCAGCACTGTAAGAAATGAAAATGTGCTGTTATTACCTTCAGTGATTGGTTCTTAAATTATAAGCCCCAATCCTGAATATGCAGTAATATTCATACGCTGGTTAATGCCGTCTTATTAAGTCTAATCGTAATGTTTCCCTTTCAAAACAAGAATTTAATTTCATAGTTCGTTATTTAACATTATAGTTTCATATTATTAATTAACAAAATATTTTTTCACATCTGCGAAAATGTTTTTTGTTTAGATTTTCAATTTATTGCCATTGACAATTCTGATCTTTTTTCCATAATCTTGTCAATCCCTTGCATACATTTATTTCTATGTAGTATATTTGTGTATAGTTTTGGTCTATTTTGTACATATGTTATTCATCTATTATGTTTACATTGTGAATATGTATTTATTTATTTATTTATTACTTTTTTTATCTTTATTTTATTACTATTTATTTATCTGGTTGCTGTTCCAGTGCACTGGAATCTTCTTTTAGCACCAAGACAAACATACTGTTCTTGACAATAAATCTCATTCTGATTCTTTTTTTTTTTTTCAGTTTAAAAATGTTCAAATAATTGATGTTAAGGCTTATGTGGATTTTATAGGATTTAGGACTAAAAAATTGCTTCATCAGACAGATCGTTGGCAAAATGACTATATAGAAAACTTTGTGCATAAAAGTTTGTGAAGACATGACTCACTCTAACACATCTCTGTTGAACTGCCTTTTGCTGTTACCGAGGAACTCTCCAATCATCTGTCGGCTCAAACCCTTCCTCTGCAACAGGAAGTGAGCCACACCAATGGCGGTATCTGGAATAAAGCCCCTGGATATCAAGAACTGGATGCCTTTGTCTGGATTTCTGCAGGAAGATCAAGAAAGATGTAGATGAGTACTAACTTGTTTTTTTTTTCTAAAGAAAGCTAGAGCTAAGACTTTATAATAACTATCATTTAGACAATTTGCTAACATTATATTATTTAATGCTAATTATGATATAATATACCTTGATGTACATTTAAGGGGGGAGGGGGCAAAACACTCAGTTTGGGATTTTTACCCCCATCTAGTGGTGAAAAGGTATATGACCATCCAGTGAAATTTAGTTTCTGTTCCTCTCAATTCTGATTTCGTTTTAAATCCTACGGTGGCCAATGTAGTCCAAGATTAACATGGCTTCCAGTTCGACCTCGTCCATGAGTGTTAACTCAAACGTAAACGCGAAAGGCGAAGCTTGAATTAAAGATGGAGGGGCAACATGGCGACCGACATTATGCCCTTACCCGTATGTATTTTCAATGCCATATTATACACTCACGAGAATACTTTATAACTTGATCAAAGTAAATATACATTAAGTGTTTTTAGCTAAGAATAAACTAAAAGAGTTACACAGTGTAGCTTTAATCTTGAGTACCTATAGAGTAGTAGATCTCCAAAAAGTCTTTAGATGAGAATCCATCTCTTTAACATTGTAAACAACTCTGAATACACCATTGCCCCTATATACATTTTTAATATTTATACTTAAACGTACACTACCTGTTTACCCATTTTTTAATAAAGTTTCCACAAAAATATTACAAACAAAAATTGCTTTCAACATTGATGATAATAAGAAATGTTTCTTGAGCATCAAATCATCATATTAGTCCGTGCATTTCACACTAGGCCTTCAGTGGTGTCCTACTTTTAATAGTGTTGCAGCGCTACACTGCTAGAGTCCGGGAAAGGCCCGCGTAGAGAGAATCGAGCGAGTGAGTTCAGCTTGTTAGCTAGTGTACACTGTACAGTGGTTCTTGCGTTCTGATTCAGAAACGGAGTCTCCCTTGTCTTGTCCTTCAAGGGTTACAATAGTCCCTTGTCTGATGTTACAAAAAAAATTCATATTCATATTCACCATGGGAAACCTGGGGGCTGAAAAGCATTATACTCACCGAAACTACGGATCAATTTACACAAAATCCATCCTAATTTCTTTCCTCAATAAGACTTAAATTAAGGTTGTACAGGTTACTTTGATTCTGAAAGCCTCAAGGCAGATTTATTTGACGCTGGCAACACATGATGGCTGAAATATGATTGGATAAAAGCTCTAACATAAATATACACTACTGGAAGCAGCGCAACCAAAAGAAAAGCTATGAAATTAAGAGAATGGACTAATTGGGAATAATTTAATACTCATTCATGGAAACATTCTGATAGTGTTCAGGCCTTGCTGGACTACTTGAATGGACACCAGTGAAAGCTTCTGTTTTATTATTGCTATTGCATTGAGATGTTAATTTATAATAATACTGATATGTCCTTCTCAGTCTCTCTTTGTATTTGTCTGTTTCATTTTTTCTTTAGCATCAGTCTCCGAGATGACATCACTGTAACATGCATTTTTTCCACCTCTCCGAACATCCATCAGGTCACATCCGACCTTATACTGGCAAACGCACACACACACATACACACACACACACACATTGTGAGTGAATAGCTGGAGAAAAAAAAATACAATTCCTGCATAGAGCTTGACAGAAACCTTGTAAAAACAACATTGTCCCTTGGTCACACAGCCTGAGTAAAACCGTGACTGTAGATCACCTGGTTACCATGGCAGCCGTGGCACTACTCATGTCAAGCATGTCAAAGTGAATCTGATCTGAGATTTCAATTGAGTGCTGATGCACTCTGAATCCTCTGAGGATTGGCTTTATTCTCTCTCTCTCTCTCTCTCTCTCTCTCTCTCTCTCTCTCTCTCTCGCTCTCTCTCTCTCTGTGTGTGTGTGTGTGTGTGTTTGTCTGAAAGAGCTACACACACAAAATGGCGCAGAGAAAGAGCTTCACAATCACCCCTGAGGGAGTGTAATATAGTCTTCTTGAGTACGTGTGTATGTATACATGTGCAAGTGTGTGTGTATTTGTCAGTGTGTATCAGCAGGCATAATGAAGATGCACTCAAACTCTTTAGTCATGGGCAAACTGACCCAGCAAACAAAAGCTCTTTTGTGAAATCATATTTTTATTTACAGCAAATGTACCCGCCAATAAAGTCTATTGTTTTTAAATTAGATTTAGTGGGTCTTACCGTCTGGCTAAAGTGCACATCACTATGACTGTTGCTCATATTTTGGATTAGTATTTGGAACAAATCTATCAAATGTTTGTTTGATTGCAAGGCTTATAAACCTTTAAACTGTAAACTTTTTTTTACCCCAAACTTTCAAATAAGACTTTGAAAAGCCAAAAATGAAAATTTACTATTAAAATCTTTGCTTTTCTAGTTAAATATTATAGGTTTTACTGTCTTTGTGGGAACATCTGAGCCTTACAAACAACAAAACCATTAACACACACTAAAAAGCCACTTTAAATGGAAAGATCCTTTAACCTTTGTACTCACACATTGAAGAGGTTGAGTCCAATACGGTAAAGGCGTTTGCGTGCGATATCTGTCGACAGCGTCCCGCAGGGTGTGTCCTGGCAGTGTGGGCGGGGCAGAGACAGAATCATCGTCTCGCACGCTGATGTCGAGGTGCTGCTGCTACTGACAGGCTCTGAGCTGTTTTCCGCCGTCTCGGGAGCAATCTGATTGGTCTGTTTCCCCTCCAGGCCCGCCCCTGCTGTCGCTGCTGCATCCGATCCGGTTGGCTGTTGGTTCTCTTTCTCTTCCTCGCTGGGAGGCGGAGGTGGAAACTCAGGCATCGCCGTGGCTGACGATGCCGATTGGCCTGCGATCTTTCCCCCTGTTTGGGCTTCAGAGCCGGTCTCCTTGGATATGCCGTTACCAAGGGAAACTGACTCCAGCATGGAGGAGGAGGAGAGGCGAAAGTTGTGGTTATCAATTTGAACAGTCACATCCCTGAAAGCCATCATGAGTTTACTGGCGCTGCGGGGTAAGTTCTCCCCACAGCCCCCTGGTGGGGCCTCCTGTAGGGTATTGGGGTCCATCAGGAGCCCCTCGGGATGGGATCCAGAGGGCGGGGCCACAGAGGACTTCTCTCCTTCCCCGTCTCTAGTAGAACTCCAGCCGCTCAAAGCCTCGTCAATAGACCGTGCTAATGTCTGAACCTGGCAGGGAGAATAGAATAGAATAGAATAGAACAGAATACAACATATTTGAATTTAATGAAGTAAAACTGAATATAATAGAACCTAATACAACAGAATAGAAAAACATTTGTATGGTGTGAAAAGGGAAAAACATCCAGCATGCGGCAGTCCTGTGGGAGAAAATGCCTTGTTGATGCTTGAGGTCAGAGGAGAATGGGCCGATAGAAGAGCAACTTTGACTGAAATAACCACTCGTTACAACCGAGGTATGCAGCAAAGCATTTGTGAAGCCACAACACGCACAACCTTGAGGCGGATGGGCTACAACAGCAGAAGAACCCATCGGGTACCACTCATCTCCCCTACATATAGGAAATAGGGAAAAGAGGCTACAATTTTCAAGAGCTCACCAAAATTGGACAATTGAAGACTGTAAAAATGTTGCCTCGTCTGATGAGTCTCGATTTCTCTTAAGACATTTCTCTTAAGACAGATGGTAGAGTCAAAATTTGGTGTAAACAGAATGAGAACATGGATCCATCATGCCTTGTTACCACTGTGTAGGCTGGTGGTGGTGGTGTAATGGTGTGGGGGATGTTTTCTTGGCACACTTTAGGCCCCTTAGTGCCAATTGGGCATCGTTTAAATGCCACGGCCTACCTGAGCATTGTTTCTGACCATGTCCATCCCTTTATGGCCACCATGAACCCATCCTCTGATGGCTACTTCCAGCAGGATAATGCACCATGTCACAAAACTCGAATCATTTCAAATGGGTTTCTTGAACATGACAATGAGTTCACTGTACTAAAATGGCCCCCACAGTCACAGATCTCAACCCAATATGGGAGCTTCGTGCCCTGGATGTGCATCCCACAAATCTCCATCAACTGCAAGATGCTATCCTATCAATATGGGCCAACATTTCAAAAGAATGCTTTCAGCACCTTGTTGAATCAATGCCACGTAGAATTCTGAAGTTCTGAAGGCGAAATGGGGTCAAACACAGTATTAGTATGGTGTTCCTAATAATCCTTTAGGTGAGTGTATTATTACTTGTTGTAAATAAGGGTGTTTTTTCAATGCTGTGAACAAATTAGAATTGCAAAGAGCATATGCAGTAAAAATTTGAATATTCAGTGTCTTGTACTCAGTTACCTCATTAAATACAGTAATGTGTAACTTTACTGTAGTTTGGCTACGGTAATGGCTGTGCAAATAGTATATAGTGCTTTCTTGAGCATTTTGAGGTAGTGTCACCAAGACCAGACTTTTTTGCATTGGAAAACATTTACAGAGTAAACTGTCAGTATGAAAACATGACAAAGGCATTTGACTATCTTGTTCAAAAACAATGGTGTCAGGACTTTTCATCTTGACGACACTGACACTTTCATTGACATGAATACCTGCTTTTGAGGAATGAGCTATCCAATTGTTTTAAGAACTGCATTAACCATTGTGCAAATGTAAATAGGGATGTGAGAAATGCACCAAAGCAACTGAGAAAAACTGTAATAGTGTAACTGTACCTGTTCGGTGAATGTGTCCTCCAGGTGTGTGAGTGTGGTTGTTGTGGTCACCGGCAGTGATGTGGAGTGTGTGAGCGGGATGCCCATGAGCGAGCATCCTTCCATCAGCGCCCGCTCAGCAGAGAAACTTTCCCTCTGCACCCGGACCCTGCGCACCGACATACGCCGCGGGATCCCACTCTCCAGAACTGAGTTACGGATCTTCTGGAAGTTCTTGCTGAGCTGGTACTGGCGGAACGCCATCTGAATCTTACAGGCCGCACGCCGCGAAATCAAAGGACCACCGTACTTTTGCTCCAGTTCCTCTATCTATGGACACACAGAAAATAAATTATTGACTCAAATTGATCTCCAACTTAATATCTCTAACAGTCAGTTTCACATGCACAGATGCCTGTCCGTTGGGGCTTACCTGTTTTTGTTTGAGATCAGGAGAGAGCTCATATTCTGGAGGATGTGAGCAGGGCGGCACGTCAGGCTGACCGTCTTTTTTCTCATCTCTCTGTTCCTCTCCCGCAGCAGGAATCGAGCTGAGGATTCGAATGACACAAGTGAGAAGTGGCTGACCCAGATTTGCTGTCTTTTAATCTAGACTGATCAGAACCCAGTGCGCATTCACGACTAATTAACTCTGCTTAATTACTACATGCAGGGTTTCACGGGTTTCAAATTCAACGCAGTCTTCGTGGGAAATGAGGTAATCAAGTGATGGTTTTAGATCATCGTTTAATTAACAGAAACTTTACATTGAATTTGAAACCATTCATTGAATACATTTTATTTCATTTAAATTGTATATTTCTTCAAACAGCACTCTCTACATTATCTTACGTAAGCCCATATATGACAAAGCCATTTTCCTCTCATGTTGAGCTCATGAAAAGCATCTCAGAGTGGAAAGCGTATGTTTAAATCATGAGAGATGTCACAAAGTAGGTTTCTTCTGCTGAACAACACAACTCAACCCCATTTCCATTTTCTCTAGGTTCTCTCTCTCAGTGTAGACACGGGTTTACAACACACACGCAAGCACACTCCAGACCGCATTCACTGTCAGCACATTAGCTGCTACCCTGGAGTAAAGGCCACTTAAGCTCTGTAAGCACTCATACACGAGGGGCAGAGAGCAGGGTTTCCATCTTTCATGCACCAAGTGCTGTTTGCCTCCAAGGAACGAGAACAAATGCAGCAGAACCTTAAAAGAGAGTGAGAACAGACACCAATCCACATGGTCGGTACAGATCATTAAGTTTCTACACAGTTGATCTGAGGACCCAATCTGATATCAGTTCTTATGTGAGAGTTTTTCAATTTTCAAGAGCTCACCAAAATTGGATAGTTGAAGACTAGAAAAATGTTGCCTGGTCTGATGAGTCTCGATTTCTGTTCAGACATTCAGATGGTAGAGTCAGAATTTGGCATAAACAGAATGAGAACATGGATCCATCATGCCTTGTTACCACTGTGCAGGCTGGTGGTGGTGGTGTAATAGTGTGGGGGATGTTTTCTTGGCACACTTAGGCCCCTTTTAGTGCCAATTGGTAGTACAAAGTGGTGCAGTTAGCAAAGAATTTGGTGTCATCTCTTGTGATATGACTCAAATAAATATGATTTCTCTTTCAAGCTGTTTAAAAAACAGATTGAGCATGACTACAAGTTTCAACATCAAGCAGAAACCCGGGCTGTCGATTCCTGCAAATAAAAGGTGAGAAGCTATTAATGCTCACTTATTTTCCCCCCCTTTTTAAAATTTTCTCAGCATTTGGAAAAAATTAAAGCTGCTCTCCGGTTTATAAATAATATATTCTGCAAACTTCATTACTGTTTGCTCAGGCTGGTTAGTGACTTAAACAAATTTCTAACCCTAAACATTAAACTTTAGTTTACCACTGAACCTGGTCACGTCCCAAAAGTAAAATGCAAAGTGCCAACAAGTATTGAACACCCAAGCATGTTTCCTCCTCAACACTGTAATTCATGTAATTTCTTGTAAAAATGCTAATGTAAAAACAATCCTTAACTATAGGCTATGTTACCTTATTATATACACGCACACTGAAAGAAAGAAATATCTGTAGAAAAATGGAATATTGTCCTTTGAGAAAAGTTTCAACCCTATAACACAAAACAATTCATCAGGCCTAATTCAAAATATAGGTAAAACAGAAAAAAAATACGAAAAATTGCTTCATATAAACACTGGGTCTCACATTTGGCCCTATTTCTTTCTTAGAGTGCAGTGAAAAATTGTAGATGGTTTAACATGACATTATACTGTATATACCTAAAGTGAGTGTATTTTACTGTAAAATACTGTCAAATGTTTTTTTAGAAGTAAAATATATGAAATACCATAATTTACAGTGGAAAACAGAAAGGAAATACAAACAGCAATATTTTCTAAAAGTCCCTACGTGAAATCACATCTAATTTTGTGTGTGTGTGTGTTTTGTGTTATTTAGTTAATGTGTTTAATGCATTATTTTGGTGTTGTGTGTTACCCTGATGGTGTTTTGTTTTCCTATATATGAATATTGGCCATGTTTCATGGACATGCTGAACTTTCTAATAAACTGTATAATTTTGGTAATTATCAGTACATTTAAAAGGTAAAAAGCATTTTAAGTAGATTGATATATTAACACCATCATTTAATGAAATATACAATTATAAGAAATAAATTATACAGGCATCCCATAATACCGCCGTCACAGTATATTTTACAGTGTTTTTATGGCTACCACATCAGCCAGTTTTCTTTCTGTGAAGTTAAAAGTACATTTTTAGACTTTAGTACAAAAAACAAAATGCATTTCGATTAAGTGCTTATCTTGGTTTCAGCCATTCTTGGCAGAACATGTAAATAAAGCTACTCTTTTATTATGTTCAAACATGTTCAACAAATGATTCAGACTTTTCTGTTAGGGTAAAAAAATGAGTAATTTCTGCCTTATTAGTTTGCTAAAAAGGGTGATCATTTCTACAGATTTGGACACAAAAGTATGGGTTTTCTGTTGTTTGGAACTGATTATGTTCACAGTTATAAAGTACTCTTTTATTAAGAATAGCTTTTAAAACTTGGTTTTGTTGGCAGCATAAATTTTGCAGTCGACAAACCTCTGGTTTGAAGTTCCCAAAATAGTGCAGAGCTGCCACATTCACACATGCACATGCACATCACACACACACACACAGCCTCTCTCTCCACCTGAGTGACGGTGCTTATCCATGCCGAGAGTTTTCCAGTCTATCAGACAAAGGACGGACCAGGGTTAAACTACACCTGCAGCATGCACTAACTCTCTTTCTCTCACAAACACACACACACACACACGTACATTCCGTTGGCTTGAATCCTATTACCCAGAATGCCTCAGGCCAAGCGACCAGGGACCGCAAACAGAAAACCACTACCATTTAAAAGATGGAATACTAAACCAATGCGGACAGCTATGGCAAACACTCTCCTTACTGCTGCTCATATTGCACATTTTGCTTGCCATTTAGAAAGTGTAACTCTGTTCTGATTGGCTTGTTACAGAAGGTGTCATCCTCACCTGGAGCAGGTTTTGGATTCTCCCTCTGGGGCCTCTGGTGCTGGACAGCAGAACTGGTGCAAGACGGTCTGACTCCTGAAAATGTTCAAATCCACATTACGGCAATTACTGTAATACTATTATTTATTATGTCATTTCATTGGTCTTCCTCAAGCACTTGCACTTATATTAGCTTAGTGGGATGGTATTGAACTAGTTTTGCTTCAGAATCCAGATTATTGGGCTTTAAAGGAGTAGTTCACTTTAAAATGAAAATTAGCCCATGATTTACTCACCCTCAAGCCATCCTAGGTGTATATGACATTCTTCTTTCAGACGAGTACGATCAGCAACACCTTGACGCTTCCGAGCTTTATAATGGCAGTGGATATATTCATATTTAAAATGTTGTAAAGTAAAATAATTGTAATTGTGACGTCGCAAAGTAGCGTAGTGCGTCATGGCGTAGCGTGAATATCAGCAGTACGCCGCATTACTCTCTAAAGTTGCACTTTACACTTAAAGGGATAGTTCACTTTGAAATTAATTTTTGATATGTTTTATCGGGCATCCAAGATGTAGGTGTCTTTGTTTCCACAGTATTTTCAATTTTGATATTTTTCAGTCAAACTGTTGTTGTTTATCACAGAGATTTCTGAAGTTTTTCCTTTCACTAAACATATTTAAATATATCGAAATCGTCTTCCATTGCGATTTCCTGTACATCTAAATATGTTTAGATCTTCACAGTGAAAGGTAACACTTCCGAAATCTCTGTGTAAACAATGAGTGACGTACACACGCAAGCGATCACTTCCGGCGCATGCGCAGACCGAAGCGCCTTTGCCGTCAGATCAGTTGGACTTGGCTGTGGTTACACGAGGTAAAAACGATATAAATACTGTTCATTTTCTCACACAAACCGCTCGTTTCATGTCTTGGGCCATCAATGTGTACTTACATTTACGAGTCATTAAATCATGTTTAATTTTGTCTTCTCTGTGCATGCTCTTTGAGGTGAGCCCATATACCTGCATTATATGACTGACAGACAACAACGGTTTGACCGAAAAATATCAAAATTGAAAATACTGTGGAAACAAAGACACCTACATCTTGGATGCCCTTGAGGTAAGATAAAACATATCAAAATTAATTTCAAAGTGAACTAACCGTATGTCTGTTTGTCCGGAAGCTATTATTTCAATTTATAAACTTTTAAACATGAATATTTTTCACAAACTCATCGCTTCGCTTCAGAAGGCCTTTATTAACCCCCGGAGCCGTGTGGGAGCTTTTATAATGGATAAATGCACTTTTTTGAGCTTCAAACTGATGGTTGCAATCCACTGCCAATCCACTTCAAGTGGAGCCGTTGATTGGATGAGAGCAGTTGACCAATAGAGCCAATAGAGTAAATGGATTTTTTTCATTCTTTTTTCTATTCATATTGTTAGGATTGTACTATATAACCATAACCAGCATCTAAACGAGGATATTAATAATGAACAATCTTTGAAATCGTATACCCAGCTTTAATATAACTCCGATTGTATTCGTCTGAAAGAAGAAAGTCATATACACCTAGGATGGCTTGTGGGTTGAGTAAATCATAGGTTAATCATTTTAAAGTGAACAACTCCTTTAAGAAAATGTTTGTATTTGGTAAACTCTTTCAACCAAAACAACTTACATTGAATTCAAAGTACTGTATGCATGTTATCAGTTTATGCATTCTATGTTAGCGGTGTCATACTCTTCAACTTGAGCTACAGGAAATAGCAACCAAAATGACAGCCAGACATTCACTGCAGAAAACAAATTATAGTTGGCAAAAACCATGTCCTTGATGCAAGTAAGCCTGTATTTAATGTAGCCTGACTCATATTTCCTTTTACCTTATAAATGATTATTTGCTCTTCCAGGTGTCTACAACAATCAGAACAGATCTGCAGTTGAGAACCACTAGCCTTCTTGATGCTAAACAACATACTTAAATGAATTTCGAAATGAAATATTCACAATGCAAGGGTATATAAATGGCTGCTCACAATCCCAAACTCCTTCCTGTTTTCTGTGTCTGTGAGTCTTGTTTGAGCCCTCCATTGTTGACAGCACATCAGATATGTTTACTTCTCACTCCAGCAAAACATGAGAATGTGAAGTGCTATTAATATAATCACATTTGCATATCACTTCCTTACACTCCCGCTATTGTGGTTAGTATGCAATATGCATTATTAATGCAATATTCTGTTGTACATGTAAAATTCCCAGCTGCTTTCTTGTTTTTTTTTTTTTGCTACATTTTTGTTTCACGGAAGAAAAACAACAACATGAGGGTTAGTAAATGATGGCAGAATATTGTCGCAAACAGTCCATCTTCACTCACTAAAAAAGATGCAACAGTCTCAAAATAAACCTGTCATAACCAGACGATAATGATGATAGCAATGTGAGATTAACTTTAATGAGCTGCGTGCATGAGCATAATTCGGCTTTAAAACTCATTAGCAATGGGAGTCTCACACTTCCACATCAACTAAACGTATTCTGTCTTAAACGCAAGGTAACATACTTTCAGACTCAAGACTCAAGTGTTTTTACCCTAAAGGAAACGATAATGCTACAATTAAACAAATCAGGGCAGAATGTATCATTCCAGTTTGGCTCAAGGGGTTACACACACACAGGGAATACGCTACAAATTCAGCGTGAGATGTGCACTGAAGCAGATGAGCAGCCATAATAGATGACGAGCGCACACACACACACACACTCAGTCTCTCAATCTTTCTCTCTCTTACTGTGGATTAGATTCAAGCTGGCGGATCAAATTCACATACACTATGGGAATGTCACTTAAAGCCTCTCTTGATGGATAAATGTGTGTGTGTGCGCATGTAGATCCCTGGCATTAAAGTGTTTTCAGTGCTTTTTAAAATGCATTCTTGCAGCAAAATAATCAGGTGCATTAAAAACCTCTTTCTTGAGACCTTTTGCCCTGGAAAGAGTGAATGTACTGAACTAATGCTGACCTATAATCGTTTTTCTTCCATTTTAGAGTGTGTGGTTATTTCAAAACTGGAAATAGCAATGCAAACACGCACAGTCTCTCGCATAGCCTACATATAATAACTGATTACACACCCACATGATCTTAAAAAAGGTTTTATAAATGCAAATCATCATTTGTTTTATGATCACTGAATTATTGATGTGCAATTTCATATTCACTGTGGCCTGCATAGTGAAATTCCTCTGTTATGTAATCCTGTTGGCGCATCTAATCTGCCTCGACATCTCACCGATCTGGTGTTTTCCTAAAGAAAGAGTGATTTGGGAAACTGTATGTGAACTCACTCAGATGTCCGTGGGAGTCCCACAGCTCGGCACAAGGTGGCAGGTGTCTGTGGGACCAGGGACCTACAGCAGGGGTTCTGAGCTTCATCATCATCTTCATCAGCAGAGTCCGGACTGGCATTGCTGGGTCCAGCAGGCACGAGCTGCATGTCCAGAGGGGAATGATGCTCCTGCTGAGTTTGACTAACCGGGGGTGTCCCGGCTCTGCTGGTTCGGGGCAGGCTGGAGGTGCGGGGGGGCGGAGGCGGGTGATAGCGGGGAGGGTGCCGGTGATGGCTGCTGCTGGAGTCCCGGAGCTGCCGGTTCTCACCCGCTAGATCCTCCAGCCGGCGCTCGAGTATGTCTATCCGGTATCGCTGGGTTTGGATCAGACTCTGTTGATTCTGCACGATGGCGGTGAGCTCCTTCAGATAGAGCACCGCCTGCAGAGGGTTCTCCAGGAGGCTTGACATCCCGTGCGACGCTCCTCTTGAAAAAGCCGAGCAAAATAATGTGATCCAAGCAGGGCGTCTCGGTGTCAGTAGCCTCCTCTTGATGTAGCTATGGGTTGGTTTAAATGGCTGAACTGAGAGAAAGAGAAAGAGAGACGGTGAGAGCGCGAGACCCCCTCCTCCGCCTCCACATCCGTGTCCAGAGCGCGCATGAAGGGATGCGCGGAGTGTTGCTGATGCGAGGATGTCCAAACACAGGATTGAAGGGGGCGTGGCCGGATTCGCTAGTGACGTCAGGCGGCACGCAATCAGGCGCAATAACAGAGTGGTTTAATTTTATTCTGATGTTTATTTCATTTTTGCTGTATTTACGAACTGTGATGCTTGTATGTTTGTAACTTGCATTCTAATAAAAAAATAAAGTAAAAAAACAGAGTGGTTTGTTAAGTCTCAAAGCTAAATAATTAGATATCAACATTTAGCCTACTTTGTTTGTTAATTTCATTTTTGTTTATTCTTACAATTGATTCGGATTTGTTGTTATTAAAGAATCATCATTATCGACATGGCTCCTTTGGGTTGCATCTTCAGTAGCCTGTAGGCTAGCCTACTCATTAAAATGTGTATTTAAAATGCCTATGCCCAGAGTCTTATTTTATTGTTACAAATTTAGATTTCTGTTACTTAGTTACTAAATTAATGTTCTTTTTCTCTAGCAGAGTGCATTCACATGATTGTTGATCACTAAATACTAAAGCGTCAATAGATAAAAAATGTAAAAGGTATGTGACCATGGTTAGTCATATAGCCTACACTACAGCTAATCTGAAACGTAAAATCGTCTTTTCGAGTTTATTTAGACTAGGCCTAGATGGAATCCAACACAAAGTCAAGTGTTTATTGGTAGATATTCTTTCATAATTATTTTAATATTCTAATGACCAACACAAACGGTAGCCTACAGAAAAATACAAGAGGAATGCCTCGTGATAAAATGAGGAATGAGCAATAATTGTTATAATAAATAGTAAAATAATTAACTAATAACAGATTAACCACATAACAAAGATTAAAACGTCATTATCAACATTTTAATAGCCTTTTAATAAACATTTTATTTAATCTCAACATACTGATAGTATACAGATTTTAAACTTTCAAATTTGCTTTGTTTTTATTATTTTTTAATAGCGTTGTTCCCCCTGATGTTACGTGCTGACGTCAGGTGTCACGTGATCTGAGAGTGCGGAAGTTTTGATCCTGACACTCCAACCGCAAACAAGCCTTATGATTCAAGCTTCTGAACGTTTGTGTTTTTGATATATAAATGGTCAGGTACAGTGTTCCCTTGTTCTTACATTTATTTTATAGCAATATTTCATAGACATCTTATAGGCATCGCTTTGAATTTCAAAGGGATCGGAGATAGCATGAGGAAGACTGCGTTGTGTAAATCTAACGTTCACGTTAATGAGAATCACTGTAGAAATCAGCTGATTTTTATTAAATAGATAATTTTCATATTGTTATTATACCCTCTTATTAATGGGGTTGTATTGCGACTTACAGCATAACACTGTTTGTTCGACTTTATCTAAACCTGTGTCCGAGTCATCATGTGACTTTCATTTGGTTAACTTAAGCCTCTGGGTTTGTTCCTGTTAAGGCTCGATCATTGATTCATGTTGCTGTACTAGATTAGAGTCTTCTAGATTGGATCTAGATACGTGACCCATGTAACTGTAATGAAAGGGGGTGAAAAACACAAATCCCAGAGGATATTAAATCTGCATTTCCATCCATTGTCTATTTCAACAAAATAGTATTGTGGGGTGCCAACTTCAGTAGCCTGTAATATGTAGCATGCACTTCAGTAATATGCAGTGTAATATATCCTGTAACACAACATATCAATTTAGCTACTACCTTGGCAAAATATAACAGTATATTTACAGTTTTTTTTGTGTGTGTTTATATATATATATATATATATATATATATATATATATATATGTATGTGTGTGTGTGTGTGTGTTTGTGTACACACACACACACGCTTATAGTGTGGTTCAGTGACATTTTAACACAGGTTAAATGATTCATTGCGGTGTATCTGTGTGTATGTGTAGGATGACGCAGAAACGTTACCTGGAGGGACAGGTGTACTCTGTACCCCTCATCCAGCCAGACCTGAGGAGGGAAGAGGCTGTCCATCAAATCACTGATGCATTACAGTACCTGGAAACTATATCAACAGACATCTTTACCAGGTGAACATAGATTTATTTATACACAGTCAGTCAGTCAGTCGTAGTATGAGTGTTTTTCTGCAGATCAGAGATGTAAAAGGTCAAGGATACACGCAAACATTGAAGGCTACTTTTTGGGTCGCCTATTCAGGTCCCAACAATACGTTGTTTCATAGTTTTTCAACAAGCTATGTTTCCATACTCCTATTTTTATGCACATTTTGGGATATCGCATAAAAAAACATTAGATGGAAATTGGTAACCCCGAAATGCGCATCAATTAGGGGTGCATGTCATGAATCGATACAAATCACGATACTTTACGATTACAGTATTTTAAAAAGATTTTTTAAAATTAATATTATTAAAATAATATTAGTAATATTTTATTATTATTATTAGGGCCCACAAATATTCCCCATTGCATTATTACACATTATATTCAACGTTATATAAAGTACTTTAATGTAGTAATGTCACTAAAACTCCATAAACTTTCATTGAATGTCCGTGTTTACTTCAGTACGTTTGTAAATCTGTTCATTATAAAGTCATCATTTGATGTCTCTTTAGAGACTTGGATTTGGATTAGACCGCTTAATTAACGATGCCTTTATGACATTTTTTGGATCTTTTAGGTTTTTAAGGGAATGGACTTTTATGATGTTTGATAAAAGAGCCACCGTGGAAACTTCAATTTTTATTACAGATATTTTGTGCAAATTTCCCAGGAAGGGACGATTTTGTTCTCTTGAACACATGGAACGGAAACACTACATTTTTCACCAATGTTTTATGCGATATTTCAGTTTTGCGCATGAGTTAATTACATTTTCACTGGCACAGCTACAAAAAAGAAATATAGATTTTCTGAAAAAAATTGGTCACTCTTTAGTTTAGGGTCTAATTATTAACTACATTTGCCACAATAAACTCCTAATTACTGCTTATTAATAGTAAGGTAGTTGTTAAGTTTAGGTATTGGGTAGGATTAAGGGATGGAGAATATTATCATGCAGAATAAGCCATTAATATGTGCTTTATAAGTAATAATAAACAGCCAATATACTAGTAATATACTTGCTAATAAGCAACTAGTTAATAGTGAGAATTGGACCCTGAACTGAAGTGTTACCAAAATATTTTTGCCTCATATCAAATATGTTGCTAAAAATACATTTATTTTAGCGACATATTTTACATGACAAAAATATATTTTTCATATAATTTTTTCATATAATTAAAAAAAAATACTATATATAATTTATTAGTTTATTTTTAATAGCTGGACATTATACACACTACTGTTTTTAAAAGAAATAATATTAGTTTAATATAGTTTAATATTTAATATAGTTTAATACTTATTAATCAATGATGCATTAAACTGATCAAAAGTGACACTAAAGACATTTGTTACAGAAATTGTATTTCTATTCAAAGAATCATGAGAAAAAATGTATCATGGTTTCCACAAAAACATGAAGCAGCACCACTGTTTTCAACATTGGTAATAATAATACATGTTTCTTGAGCAGTAAATCATCATATTAGAATGATTTCTGAAGGATCATGTGACACTGAAGACTGGAGTAATGATGCTGGAAATTCAGCTTTGATCACAGTATTGTGAAATGTTACAATTATTTTAATGTTTCACATTATGACTGTTTTTTTTAAAACAAAGCAAATGCATGCAGCCTTGGTGAGCGTAAGAGACTTAAAGAGACCTTTAAAAGCTTTTGGACTCCAAACTTATGAATGGTAGTGTGACAAATTTAACTTCAATACAATCAAAACAATCACTTCATTTCAAATCTTGTAGCAAATGTTTATGAGTGTAAGGCAAAGAAACACATGTACATGATCAACAAACATAAGATGTAGTGAAAACACAGCATTGGTCCTATAAAGTAAGTGACAGCTCCGTCAACGGGCCCAAAACTCCAACTCAAACTGGCCCCGGGCCATCCTTATTGTTGCGCCTGGCTATTAAAGGAGAGAGAGTGTCTTTAGACTGTGAACATAACAAAGGACGGAAATACAATGAAAGGTGTGTGTTTTGCATGAGATGCAGTTGTGAGGGAGTGAGTGCTCAAATATGCTAATTCCAGCTGAACAGGCTGGAAAACCATCCACAGCGTTACCATGACAACATGGCACGTAGGGGTCCAGGGAACATATTTGTGTGTGTGTGTGTGTGGTGAAGCAGTGCGTTTCTAGGTCAGCTCCATTAAGCCTCTCCTTCCTCCCTCTCTTTTAGTCATTTTTCTGTCATTTTCCCTCCTTTTCTAATGGAGGGTCTTTTCAGGCAGCATGTAGTGCCATAGGCTACAGAAGAGCACACTTAGTACTGATGATAGGACTGTACACATGCACAATTATTCACACATTTCCGCTGCATTTTGTTTGTTTTGAGGCTTTTTTACTGTAGCTACCTTTCGGAATCAAGGGATCTTTTTTCCATTAGTGATGTTTGTCCACAGAAGAAGTGTAGACAAGTGTGGAACGAATTGTGGTCAGTGAGTTATAATAGGTGTAATATAAAGGCCAAGACAGATGGCATTGTCATGGAGCCAGAAGGTCAGAGTATAGGTGCTGTTTTGTCTGCAGAGCAATAGCATGCTGCAGTGCAGCGTTTGCTTGGCTTGTCATTCAGACCGTCGTTTGGAGAAGTTTGCTGCAAAGTTTCACATTTGTCCTGGCTGTTGTAGAATTTTACGTGAAATTTAAGATAGACTGTGAACTAAGATTTTTCAGTGACCAATGCTCATATACACTATAAAGGCCAGTAAATTGATTAATTGCATCTAACTGTTGCTGATTACACATCAGTTTTCAGTTTTCACACACACACACACACACACACATAGATATACACTACCGGTCAAAAGTTTTAGATCGGTAAGATTTTTTATCTTTTTAAAAGAAGTCTCTTCTGCTCACCAAGGCTGCAAATATTTGATAAAAACAACAACAACAACAAAAAAAAA